CTTCATTTCTTCATCTCCCACTCCCCCCACCCTGCCCCTGCACCATGCCTCTCTTCACTGCCCTTCTCCACCTCTCATGAACCATAAAGTGAACCATTTCAAATTTATCATGCACATTTCTTTTTAAACAACAGGCATACTTAGGCACATTTTCAGGAAAATTATATCAACCCTACAGGAGAGAGTAGGACAGTCCCTGTGGGTTTCCAAGACTATAAACCTTTATGGGAGTAGAAAGCCTCATCTTTCTCCCACAGAGCAGCTAGCGGTTTCAAACTGCTGACCATGGGTTTAGCAGCCCGATGTGTAACTCATTATCCCACCAGGGCTTAATGGCAGTGAGTTTGGTATATGGGAAAATGTGTGTGTGTGTGTGTCTGTGTGTGTGTAAAGCCATTTGCAGTAACACAAATTTTCATAATCTCTAGGATGAAACATTTACTGATATTTTAGCATTAAATAAGTCATGTGACATTCTTTTTTTTCTTATTGCTTCTTTTTTTAATTAAAAGATCATTTTACTGGGGACTCTTACAACTCTTACTGCAATCCATACATCAGTTGTGTCAGGCATATTTGTACATAGGTGGCCATCGTTCTTTTCTAGACATTTACTTTCTATTGAGCCCTTGGTATCAGCTGCTCTCCCCCAACCTCATGGCCCCTTGATAGATTATAAATTATTATTATTTTCATATCTTACACTGACCGTTGTCTCCCTTCCTCCATGGTTTCTGTTGTTCTTCCCCTGACATTATTTTTAAAATCACTAAATATATCACATACACAAAAGTGAATACACAAAGGGGCTTCTCAAAGTTCAGGGGAAAATATCACTTTTTTTTCCTGATCTTGTAAGGTTCTTTTTTTTAATCATTTTATTGGGGCTCATACAACTCTTATCAAAATCCATACAGACATCCATTACCACTATCTTTTTATTCAATTTTTCCTCAATATTTTCAAGTCTGGAGAGTGTATGTATGTGTGTATGTGACATACACGGTCACATAGGCATGCTTGCATGTATCTACACACATATAATCTTCAATAAGAGACTAATAATGTTCTTTCTTAACCTGGATAGAGAACACATCATAAAAATAATAATAAATGAATTAAAACAGTCTTAGCTTTAAAAAAAGCCCAAAATGTAAAGCATGTATATGTACATATATGTATAAAGAATATCTGTATTTTCTCTACACACCAACTTATGAAAGCCCCCTTGGGGCTCCTCCTCAGAACATCCCATTCTTTCCTCCCCTCAAAAATGGCAATTATCTTGAAATTTGATTTACATAAGGCATGTTTGTGTAATAAACTGAAAATATTATAAAGCCTATCAGACTTGTTAAAAGAAGTCATACACACATATACAAATAAAACATAAATTATGACAATTCATAAAAAGGACATATGAGTATAGATAGACCTGCTGTACATATTGAATATAGACACCTCAGGGATCCGCTCCATTTTCACTCCCACTATCAGTAGGGTCAAGGCAGCCTTGGTGAGGTAGAGGCTGTGATGCACAAGGTCAACAGTATGAAACCAGCAGCCGCTTCTCAGGAGAAAGAGGGGTTAGCAGTTACAGTCTCAGAAACTCACAGGGGCAGTTCTACACTGTCCTATAGGGTCACTGAGAGTCAGCATCAACTCTATAGCAGTGAGTGTGCGATCAGTAGGGTCTGAACTTGTCTCCGGATCACCACATGACACATGCTTTTCTATCTACTCAGAGATTGCCAGCAGAACAGAGGGCATAGATGTTGCCCAGGGCCACCCAGGCATGGATTCTGCTTTCTCCACTACTCCAGATGCCATGAGTTTGCTGATGGGGTCTGGCTCCAGATCTAAAACTGCAATGCTATAAGCATTCTTTTAAAGACAGGGGGCTTCAAAAATATGTGGGAAAAGTCCATTACCTTTTAATTCTATTTTTCCATAAACATCTGTAGGCCCAGTGATATGGTTAATTGGGTTCTTCTAGAGAGGTGATGACGCACACCCCGAATAAAAAGACAATGATTAAGACAAGAAGTGGGCTTCGTCTTGCCTGAGGGAACCCTGTCTATTAGTATCACAGACCGCTACACATCTCATATCTCCAGTTTTAGGGTCAGTGTGTAGGTTTGAATAGCTGTATTAACTAATCTTCTTTGTAGGAGTATAGCTATCATTACCCTATCAACAGCACTGTACTTCAAGACAGACTGTGAAATGTTCTTTTTGATGATGAATTCGTGACGTTCTTCTTCTTGGCTTTGTCATTCCTGACATAGTACCCCATGAGGTTATCTGATTCAAAAATGATCGATATGAGTCCATTTCAGCCCATTAACGCCTAGGATATGGATATGTATGCATTCCACTTCATTTGGGACAACTTTCCATTTTCCTGGGACCCTATTTCATGCCGTCCACAATCTGGTTATACACGGATATTTGCTACTGAGTCTCCTCATTTTGAGTCGTGTTCATCAGCAAATGAACGTCCAAGAGCTTTACTCCACCCACACCATTAAGGTTGACTCTATTTGGGGGAGGCAGCTTTTCGCCAGTTGTCTTTTGAGTGTCTTCCAACCCGAGGGGCCCGTCTTCCCACACTGTATCTCGCAATGTTTCCTGCTCTTCATAAGGGTTTCATGAGCTAATCGCTCAGAGGTGGGCAGCCTATTCCTTCTTCAGAGTCTGCCCTGAGTCTGGAAGCTCCACAAAAGCCTGTAAACCTTGCGTGGCCCTGCTGATATTTGAGATGCCAGTAGTATAGCTTCCAGTTCCACAGCAACACACAAGCCATCACAGTACAACAAACTGACAGAAAAGTGGTGGCCATGGTCCTTAGGTATTAAAATAGTTGTTATTCATAGCGGCCCCTGTGTGTCACAATAGAACTGGGCTCAGAGTCTTGGAAAAAAAGAAAGAAAAGAAAAGATAAAAAAGAACTGGTTTTCAATGGCTGATTTGGGGGAAGCAGATCATCAGGATTTTGTGGTGCAGAACCTCTGGGTGGATGCAAACCTTTTGGTTTGTTTGGTGGCAAGGTAGCAATTCAACCATAATAGACTCCTCCTTCCTACTCCTGTTGCCATTCAATCTATTCTAACTCACAGCAGCTACAGAGTACAACTGCTCCATGCAATTCTCTTGAGAGAATTCGTGACGAGAGCAGATCTCCAGACCTTTCTCCCATTGCATCATGTGGGAGTTCAAGCTGCCAACCTTTAGGTTAACAGCCAGCAAAATACCACCTCAGACCCATAGGAGGAAGACCGAAAGTCACAAGTCCTTGCGAAGATGTGGAGCAACTGGAATCTGGTGCATTCCTGATGGGAATATAAACTAGTGCAGCCCTGAGGAGAAACAGGTTTAGTATTTCCTCAAAAATTTAAGCCTAGTACATGCGACCTGACAATTCCACGTCTAGATATATATACCCAAAATATTTGAAAGCAGAGACTTCCACAGATACATGCACACCCTTGTTCACTGCAGCATCATTCACAAGAGCCAAAGATGAACGTAACCCAAACCCATCCATGGATGAATGGATAAATAACATGTGACAAACACCTGCAACAGAACATTATACAGCCCTTTTGATAAATGCTATTACAACCTTGAACACATCATGCTGAGTAAAATACGCCTGTCTCCAAAGGACAAACATGAGGGAGTTTCAAAGACAATATGCTTAATCTAGACTTTCACATTAAGTGGGACCATGCAATAGAAGTCTTCAAAAAGTTTGTGGAAACAACGGAATTGAAAGACAATGGCATTTTTTCCACAGACTTTTGGAATCTCCCTCCTATATGTCCTTTTTTGACAGACTGATGGAGAAGTGGCCCTGGTGGTGCTGTGGGTTAGGCGTTGCACTGTTAATCACAATTTTTGGCAGTGGTTACCCACCAGCCACTGCATGGGAAAAATGAGGCTGGCTGCTCTGGTAACGATTTCTAGTCTCAAAACCTTCTATAGGGTTGCTATGCGTTGGAACCCATTCAGTAGCATTGGGTTCTGCTATAGGCTGGTGGGATGAGGGAAGGGGAATTAATTGCTGAAGGGCTGCTGAGATTTTGTTTGGGCTGAAGTGAAAATTTTGGAAGTGGTTAACAATGGTAGCATAATATGCTGAGTGTCATTAATGCCACTGAATTGTACCCTTAAAATAGCTTAAAATAGAAAACTCCGTGTTGCATATGTTACCACAGTAATTTTTAAAAAGTCTGTCACCAGTTATGACAAATGCTATTGACATAACAAGCAGGAAAACAAGTCATTGTTTTTCCCACAATAGAAAAATTGGATGTAATTGAAGGGGTGGGGAGATATATCACCTGGTATTCATTGATCAGTAATAATGGGGAAAAAAATCTTACCGATGTTATCTAATAGATCGCAGAAGCTCTATATAAGGTTTCCGAGACTGGGGTAGCAAATAGTCTCATCTTTCTCACACAGGGTGGCTGGTGAGTTTGAACCACGGATCTTTTAGTTAGTGGCCCAATGTTTACCCCACAGCACTAGCATCATACCTTTCAGTGTGTGTGCACAAGTCTCTTGGGAGGTATACATTCAAAAGGAAAATCTCCTCAAGTGTTGTAGCAGCTGAGCCTCTTGTCCCAGTGTCTCCTAATGAGCTAAAGTCGTAGACCATGGCAATTTCAAGTTTGGCATGACTTAAAGATCAGGATGGTCTACAGTGGATCCAATTTCCAAAAAAGAATAAACAAAAATGAGGGAAAAAAATGAGATTCAAGGCGCTCACATCCCACAAAGCAGACGTTCGATAAACAAGTTTGATGTAACTTTGGAAAAGCTGCAAGTTACAGTGAAGGAACGTGACCGTCAGGGTACCGCACTCAAAGCATCACCATTGCAACCCTACGCCGTAGCTGTCACCCAGGCAGCCAGATGAGCTTCAGTTTATTAAAAAAAACCTCCAAACCCAGCTCTAAGGTTAAAAGAAACCCCTTTGCCCTAGAGCCTACCTCCGAAATGGGGATGACGAACAGTCCCTGGTCGCTTCAGAGGGGGCAGCTCCACACCCCCCTTAAGTCGTTATTGGATGATGTCCAGGGTGGAGGATTCCCCAGGATCCAGGACGGCGCAGCGCGCTTTCTGGTCCTCCTAGGCCTTGAAGTAAGCGCTTCTGCCAGAATTCCTCAGGTGCCTGGCTGCCGGCTGTCCGCGCTCTCTAGCTTCGTCGCCTAGCAACCAGTGAAGCCGTCTAGGCTTCCTGGCTTATTAATTCCCCCGCCCCTACAGAATGAATACAGGTTCAGGGTTGTATTTTTCGTATTTGCTTCCGGGTCGAGTGGGCTTTACGCAGCGGAAGTTCTCTTTATTTCTTAGGGTTAACCTCGGCGGAGACTAAAAGTCTCAATTACGCGCAAGTGGGTCATATTGCTAACAGATGTTGTCCGTCCCTCCTCCCTCCGATTACACGCCCCTCCCGTTCCGCCTACGGATGGGCGCCTTCAGGCAAGACTTTTCCTCCCGAGCCCAAACCGCCGGCTGATCATCGTCCTCCAATCACAGAAGGCGTCCTCGCCTTCGGGGACTATTTTGCAATAGATGAATAGCGCAGGAAGAAGGGCGGAAGAAGACTTCATTTCGGGAAATGTAGTTTAACATTGGACGGAAGTCCTTCGAAGATTGCGCCAGAACCACGGCCGCGTAAACTACAGTTCCCAGAAGGCGCCGCGGTCAGGAGCCGAGACCTTCCTTCCTTAACTCCGCTCACGCTCCTCCAGTCGCTTCGGTGGTAGAGGTGACCTGGCTCTCTGAGGCTGGTTGTGCAGGTGGAAAAATGCCCTCGCCGTCCCCAATCATGGTGAGTGTGAGCCTCTGACTCTTGCCCACCTTTCGTGCACGGGTTCTTCTCTGGAATTTCTCGCACTGAAGTGCTTTGGGAAGGCAGTTGTGCAAGGCGTTGTCCTTGGCCCTCTTGGAAAAGCGGAGCCTTGGGACTCTGCAGTTCATTCTCTGGGGACTGTCGCAGTGACCTAGTAATTGGAAAGGGATTCATTTCCATCTTGGGGAATCTTTGAAGGATTCTGGAGATCTCCCTGCAGCTGGAGAAGCTTGATTTCAGCTCTGATGCATGGCAGGGAGAAAATAAGAGCCTGCGGGTCTCCTCCTCAGGACGTTAGGTTTGATATTTGGGGCAGGGGAGGTCTGCCTTAAGCCCACCATGTTTTATATTAGTTTTTTTTTTTTCTCCACAAAGTACTTGAAAGCAGAAGGCCCGAGCCTGTACAGGTAGCGCTTACCAGATGCTGTAGATTACGATCGGCGTTTGGAGATGTGTTTCCGCCATATCTAATTTCGCAAGATGTTATTTTAACCTATTCGTTAATTTTTTGCAATGCCGGGATTTTATATCTTTATTTATTTTTGGAGCGACCACATCACGAGCTGTCTATCTAGTGCAGATATTCTTAACTGATGTCGTGAATTCCAGGAGCACAACTTTGAAGTGTAATATAATGTAACCATCTTGCCTTGTGAGATCTGGCTCTCCTTATCTTGTCTCTCCTGAAAGGGAGAAGGGGGGTGGGGGGAAACTCTGACGTAGGCATAATCTGCACACAGCTTGAAGGTGACCTTTGACTTCAGACTGAGAGAAGATTGTTGCAGTGTTTGTATTTATTTGGGCTATCATTCTTTCATTGTCTCATAATACTGAAATGGATGGAGCGAGGGGAAGGAAATGGGAATGAATTGGAAATTTCCCAGAACTTGAAAATGCATGCTTTCAAGGCAATGTTTGACTTCCTCCACCTTTACAGGGAGGCCCTGTGTTAAATTTAGGTTTCCTTTGTGTTTGTCAGATAATTATAAATGGTTCAGTGGGTTCTCCCCTAATTTTAGCAAGAAAGAAGATCTTACCAGAAAACCTCAGGCTTTATTATTTTAGAAGCAAATGAGATCTTTAAAGGTCTCCACTTCAAATCTTAAAAGATTTGAATCTCAAACTTCAAATCATGAAATTATTGAAGCCCAGAGACAATAAGGAGGCACCATTATGGCCCTATTACTAGACTACTAATCCCCAAATTGTCAGTTCAAACTCACCAGATGAGGCTATTTGCTCCTGTGAAGATTTACAATCTCACACTCAATGGCAATGGTTTGGTTTTGATTTGGAAAGAGAATGTGAATTGCTCAATGTTGCCCCAAGGGTTCCACACACTCCATTTTATCATATTGTGCCACACAGACCCCAAATCAAAGCGTTCTGAAAATCCACTTTATTTTCAGTAAGAAGTTCTTACTGCAAATACAAACTCAACTCTGTTATCAGCATTTATTCCTTGTCTGCAGAATATGGGGATTCTAGAATTATAAGGGAATATGGAGATTTATTTTTCCCTAACATTAAAATGTGGTTTGGTGGGGTCAGATGACTTTCCCAAGGTCACAGGTGTCCTGGGGTCCCTGATTCCTGTGTTGCATTTGCTGCACTGTCGGTCAGTGCCAGCCTCAGCCCCTGGAAGGTCACTCGATGACAGAAAGCATGGACACTCCGCATGAACAGCAGCCCTTCTCCTGCTTCGCTGCTCAGATGGGTCACCCCTCCTCCCCTTTGAGAGACTATAGACTGCAGCACTGAGGTTGAGAATAGTGAGCTGTCTTTTGAAAATCAATTCAAAGCGTTGGGGTTTTTTAAGGCTTGAATTCCTTGATGGTGTCCATTGGGAGTCATGGCAAGAATGAATGGGATAAAGGAATCCAAATGATAACTACATGTCTTCTCTGTTACAGAAATAGGATGGTAAAAAGGCTTGAGTCTTGCTGTGGCATAACAGGACAAGAATTTGGATTTAGGCTTTTAACCACTGAGATTTTAGCACATGCGCAAAGCAAAGAGCTTGCATCTGTAGGAAGGTCATTAGTGCCCTGCCAAGAGCAAAGACATTCCTGCTTTGGATCTTGGCAAACTGCCCAGAGATCTGAACAAAGAATAGTAACCGGTGTTCACGCTGTAACATTGTGAAAATCAGGGGGGTTCTCGCACCCTGCTGTTTTGCAACTGCAATCAAAAGAAAGATTAAAAAAAACAAAACAAAGGAAGCACTTCCTTTTCTGTTTTATCTTCAAACCACGCTTCATAAAATTGAATTACCTGCCTGTGAAAATAGTTCACCCAAAGGTACACAAAAACTGCGAGGTGGAATTAGCAGCTGTTCATCAGTTGGCCACAGCCCCTTCACTCAGGACTGTGATACACTTGCACATCTTTTTAGTCGCTAAAACTGACGACACTCCTCGTATCTAACCATTTCTCTGCCGAACTTTCTAAGAGGTTAAACCTTTCAAGATAAATATTCATTTTATCCTGTGTATTTTTATTCAAATAGCATACGTTTGGTTTTTGTTTTGTTGTTTTCCTTGTCACCTTACCATCACTCATGCAGCAAATATTTGTTGAGCAGTGTGTCCAAGTCCAAATTTGAGGCAAAGAGATAGTACTTTCCAGGGAATTTCAGTCTAATGGAGACTAAACCAAAACACTCAAACCAAACTCAATGCTACCCAGTGAATGCCAACTCGTAGCAACCCTGTAAGAACAGTAGAACTGTCCTGTGGGTTTCCGAAACTAACTGGGAAGTAGAACGCTGCCTTCCCCCTGCTGAGGGACTGGTCATTTTGAACTGCTGACCTGACAGTTATCAACCCTATGTGTAACCACTAGACCACCAGGGCTTTGTAGTAAACCTCAGTCTATAAGGGTCTTTTGGAGATAGTAATAGTACGTGCTACAGGGACCTTATGGTTTCTCATGCTTTCTATGCTGTTAGCCCTTAAAACTACCCTGTTTTTAGATATTACTATTAATATTAGCTATCACATTAATTAAAATGGTTAAATTGAAGCATGACTAATTGCTTTGGTAAAACTACTTCAATGTAAATAGAAACCCACTGTTGGCTTCGTTCTACGCGTGAAGGACTCTATTTAGAAGGTGGGTGACAGAAATGCTTTATAAGACTTCTGTGGCTGGCTGCCAGAGAAGCCCTGGCGGTTGGGTAAGCATTAGACTGCTTACCAAAAGATTGGCAGTTCAAACCCACCAGTCACTCCCCAGGAGAAAATGAGGCTATCAGCTCCTGTAAAAATGTACAGCCTTAGAGACCCTCTACAGGGTCACTGTGAGTCAGATTCAGCTCAGTTGCCTTAGGCTTGGGTTTTGCATGTCCTCCATGATTTGCTCTATAATAAACTATCATCACATAATGTTCATTAGCAACTTCCTTGATCCTATTTTAGTGATAAAATATTCCCCCGTAATGTGGACAAGATTATGTAAGCAAATTCAGGATAGCATTTTTAGCTCCCTGAGTTAAGTAACACCACCTAAATATGCAGCCAAAGTGCATCATCCAAAAGAAGTTCTCTTGATTTGTGCGTGCTTACTTCCATGGCACAAGGCAATGAGGAAGCTTTCTGCTGAGCCACATGCTGAAGAGACGTTAAAAATGTTCATGAAGCTTAACACGTGGTTGTCTTCTTAGGGGGAAATCCCAAATATCTCTGGGTAAAAGAGTAATCTGTAATAAGATGTTGGAGTCTGTGGGTGACACAGTTAAGTGCCCAGCTTCTAACTGAAAAGTTGGCGGTTCAGAGCTACCCTGACACAAACCACAAGAAAGGCCTGGCAAACCACTTCCCCCAAAATCAACCCCCGAAACCCCAGTGGAGCTCAGTTCTACTGGGCACATGCGGGCTCACCAGAAGCCTGCAGCCACTCAGGCAAGGGCTTATTCATTTTCCTCCTGGTGTTAAAATGTTAATGGCTCTCTTTCTTTGCAGTCTGAACCAATCAGAGTGCTGGTGACTGGAGCAGCGGGTCAGATTGCATACTCCCTGCTGTACAGCATTGGAAATGGCGCTATTTTTGGTAAAGACCAGGTAGGAGCAACTATCTGTAATTCCTTTGTTATTAGAGGGAGAACTGCAAACAAGTTACAAAAATGGTGAAGGAATGGCTAATCTCAATAAATGTAATAGGCAAATTGCTCTCAATAGAAGCTGGCAAAGCCTTTGTGTGCACCCCACAAGGCCTTGAAACTGCATTGCAAATCACAACTATTCCACTGACTGGTTCAGTTAACTTGGTACCTCAGACAGGGGTGTCAGAGGGAGGTCCTCATTAAAGGCAGTGCCTGTTAAGGTGGGATAGAAAGTTACTGCATTAGTGCTAACTTCTTAAAACAGGTCTTAATCCCCAAATTGCCCCAAACAGGCAATTCTGCTTTCTAATAGGAAGCAGGCACCCACCTACCTTGCCCAATTTCAGTAGCTGTGATTGCTGTGCATGGACATGATGGTCTCCCGTTTTTTATTTATTTATTTGTTTATTTATTCACTTGGCTCACATATCCTATGCCCATTCCTCATTCTAGACACTCTACTTAGCTTTCTATGAGCTGAAGGCAGATATTGGCGTCTAGAGCAAGCTGGGGCATACTACTTGGATTTGATGTTTTCCCCCATGACTACCTTCCGATTTGGGTGTGGCTGGTTTCTCGCCCTGTGCCTGCCAGCATGCCATCGCTGGTTTTCTGCCATTCCTTCCCCTGGGAGGTGCTGTGCTGGATGCCTGGCCCCCTCAGTAGTCACTCACAGTAGTTACTGTGAATCACCACTGGAGTTGTACACACAGTTAGAAACATACACAGTAAACAAAAACTGTGACTCGGCGACGTAGCCTACACTGACAGGTGCTGTCCTTGCTACTTGGCAGCCCCTGATCCTCGTGCTGCTGGACATCCCCCCCATGATGGGGGTCCTGGAGGGCGTCCTGATGGAACTGCAAGACTGTGCGCTTCCCCTCCTGAAAGGTGAGCGCGGGGCGGTGGTTGGAGGAGGGATCTGACAGTACGTGGCACTTTGTAAACTCTCGGTTTTTATCATTAGAATAGTTTATCCGCCTCTGACTTAGCTATTTGATAAAATGATTTTGCTTTTATTTTTTTAACTACAACTAATTGGTAAGTTGTTACCAAGAATACGTAAAGATAAAGGCCAGAATTAGCCAGTGCCAGGCAAACAACTATACATTTCCCCCCCTAAAATGCTCGCACACTTGAATTTCTGTATTAGGTATAATACTGAGCACTGTTAAGTGTACTATTGCACAGGGATTACACCCCTGAAGTTGTCTACATTGAAATGCCACATAGTCTGTTCACATGGGAGCAGTAGCATCTTTTCCGATTGTGAATGGTGTCTAGAGCCATAAAACTGCACTGAAGCCAGAAGTCGGTCAGCTCCTCTCTGTAGCCTGTCCCATCTGCTAGTCCTCACGTTTCGAGGAAATGTAAAATCCTTATCCTCTTACACCTCATACTCTGAGAAAACCCCCTCGAATGCAGCAAAAGCACCTTTGAAAAATCAGTGAACTGTTGTACAAATGTTTTTAATATCATTTGATTGAAAAACTTAATTAAAACATAGATCAAGTTACAAATGAATTGGGCTTTTTTTCCTCTGGGTATTGCCTTCATGTGTGGTCTTTATCTTTTGGTAGAGATTGATTATAGAAGCGATCTGAAGAGTGCACAAAGCAATATATTTGTGCATTCCCAAGAGGAGCCATATAGCTGTTCAATAGACAGTCACCAAAAAGGGGTATTCTATTGTGGACAGCATTTGGTTGCGTAGAAAATGAATACCTTACTCTGCCATGACTGTCCTGCTGGCTCTTTTTACCACCACTCTCTCCCAAGCAGCTTTCTCTTTGTTCCTGTCTCCCACTTGAGTTCCCAGCCCCCTCACTCCCCCACCCCCACTCTCCCAAATTATATTATAATCGTCTTGACCTTGGCGGACAGCTGTGACTGACGAGGTCAGCAAGTGAAGATGGGTGCCAGGGAGGAGCAAAGTAGATTGTTTTTCCCCCAGATGGTGTTCCTGCATGTGTCTGTTCAAGTTCCACTGTTTTAAAACTTTACCACTGGGAAAGCTGGACCCACGTCATGGCCTTTTAGTATCCGGGAGAGTGGGGGGGGGGGGAATGTATATTCTTCATGCAGAAAGTAAGGGGTGTGTGTTTAATGGACTAATACTTACTGTGGTATAGCCTTGAACTCTGGACTGACCTGGACCATATTACAGCTCCACAAGCTTTTAGTGAGAGCTCGTTCAACTCTTTATACCCCAGTGTCTTCATCTGCAAAATATAAAGCTTGAGTTTGATAATGCATATAAATTTTAGCCTTATTCCCTGACACAAAACTCCTCAGTGAACACTTACTTTTAATTTGTTAGAACCTTAAAGCAACGGTAATTTAGAGATTAGGTGACTTGGTTGCTGTTTTTTTGTGATCTTTGGTAATTAGTATGGGTAACAAGTGTGGCTTGAAGATTATCACATACCTTGGATTACATATGATTATAAAAGGACAGCTGTGGAGCTTTTTGAAATCATGATCATATTGAAATACAAAAGCAAAATTAATTTATTGGCATTTCTGTTGCTGCTGTGGTGGTTAATATGAGTGGGCTTCCAAAAGTTTGTAAGAAAAGTCCATTATCAATCTCATTTTTCCACAAACTTTTGAAGGCCCCCCTGTATGTAAGTATATAGATTATGTACACTAACATGTAAAGTTTTTGTTCTTAGACTCGTACAACTTCTATAAATTTGATATCAAGGTGTTTGCTACTTAGTGGAAGAAGTAATTGGTAGAATCAGTATGAAATAGCAAACCTCACGCATAGGTGTTTGAGTAGCTCTGCTTGTTTTGTGCCCTGCTCCTAGATATCATTGCCACTGATAAGGAAGAGGTTGCCTTCAAAGACCTGGATGTGGCCGTTCTCGTGGGCTCCATGCCAAGAAGGGAGGGCATGGAGAGGAAAGACTTGCTGAAAGCAAATGTGAAAATCTTCAAATCCCAGGGGACAGCCTTGGATAAATATGCCAAGAAGTCAGTTAAGGTGACCAGCGCTCTATTTTACGAAATGTTTGTTAGTATTTAAAGTTCTGTTTTAGGTAAAAAGTCACCTCCCTTACACCCCACCACCACCAGCACCAATCCCGTTCTGCGGACTTCATTTTAAGTAGTTAAGCTTTTAGTCTCTGGTAATTGCTAACAGAAAATAATAGAAATGAGTTGAGTATGAGTCTACAGATTGCTTAGAACAAATTCTAAGGTGGTTTTGAACTAGTAAAGCCCCAGCTGCGTAGAGTGGTAGTATTGCTTATACGATAATCCTCTGACACTGGAGTCTTCAGGGGCAATGGAATACCATGTCTGCAGCTTACTCTCAAACGTGCCAGAAAAGACCAAGGAGGTATGGTTCGTGTGTGCATGCACACACACACACACACACACACACACAGGGAAAGTAAACAGTCTACGTAAAGAAGATTTAGAAGCCAGCCCTCTTTAATGTACTTGTAGATTTTCTGTTTGAAATTACCGTATATACTCAAGTATAAGCTGACCCAAATATCGGCCGAGGCACCTAATCTTACCACAAAAACTGCATTAAAAATGTGCTGGACAAAAAATAAAAATAAAAATAAATGTGCTGGAAAAATAGGCTTATACACGACTATATACGATATTTGAAAATAAGGGTTTTTCTTTTATTTTTGTTCTGGGTTTTTAAAGAGATTTTCAGAGCTGAAAGGCGCAGTCCATATCCAAAGTCTTCTAGGATTGTAAGACATGTATCCCAAAGTGCTTTTCCTCCTGTAAAGGTTGATTCAGTAGGAAGTCTGGGGGAATAGGGCCTTGGTAATCTGTATTTTCACCAATCTGCCAAGTAATTCTTAAGATAAGGCAAACTTAAACACTTTTAACTCATTGAGGCAAATCATATCCCTAACGTAAGTTGCTCAATTAGAACTTTCATCTCTTGCACACCACTGTTAGAAAAATGAAAATTCCGTAAGTGAATCAAAGTCTGAGTTAGAGACGTAGGTGGCTTATCTTTTGAGACACGCACAAAAATTCTTTCTCTGTGTTGGCATGCAGCAAAGTGGCGAGACGCGGCCCTTCACTCGTGGGCATTGCCACCTGGGAAGCGGCTCCTGTAAATAATGGTGGCTGTACTAAAGAAACCTTTATTTTCCATAGTCAGTCCAAGCACTAGCAAATAAAATTAAATTTTCAGCCTACCGTGATAACGCTGCATGTTCAGCACGTACAAAATTAGTTCATGGTTTTAAGTCATATTCTAAGATGGTTTCATCAATCGTATACTGGCTATAACTCTGCCCCTCCCATGCCCCCTAGGTTATCGTTGTGGGAAACCCAGCCAATACCAACTGCCTGACTGCCATGAAGTCGGCCCCATCCATCCCCAAGGAGAACTTCAGTTGCTTGACTCGTCTGGATCATAACAGAGCTATGGCTCAAGTAAGAAAAATGCTTTTTTCAGTCTTTGGAGTACTGCACAGCTTTTCTCTCACTTTCAAGGAGCTCCGCCTGGGGTGTGCTTTTATGATCGTTGTTTCTTCGGTAGACAAAGAATGTCAATTTATTTAGCGAGTCCTTCACTGTAGTCTAAGAGCGAAGGCTGTGCTTCTTCATTTTGTTCTCAACTGTATTTTGACAACTGAATATAATTAAATGCAGTTGCTTAATGTTCCCTTCCGCTAGTGGTTAGCATCAGCTATACCACTTGTATGATTTCCAGGGCGGTTTGTAATTTATTTTTGTCAAATGCGTAGGAGACCGTTGACACAAGGAGTTGGGCTTTTTCAGTGTTTGTGAAATTCTGCTTCATTTTTCTCTTTTGCAAAGCAATAGCCAAATGCAGATTTTTAACTTTTATACCTTTTTGATACTGTTTCCATATGAGCTAAAGTTTACTATCAGTAGTTCACTTAAGAGCCAAATATTAATTCCTATAAATGTTTCTTACCCCTTGGAGCATCAGCGAAACATGTCAAGAAGTTATGTCGGCCAAGCTCCAAGGGGTAAGAAAAATTGACGACAATCCCAAGAGCCATTCAAACCTCAGAAGCCATGCTGCTCAATCAGGGACGGTTCCCAGGCTTTCTCAAACTTGAGGTGGTCATGGTACCCTCGGAGTCGCCACAACGTCCAGTGCTGGCCATACCTTCCTTTCCCCCATGCTTTGGGCCACTGACCTCATCACTGCTGGGTCTGGGAGGCCAGTCCTGTTTCTTAGGGAAGATCTTAATTCCTTTTAAGAAAACGGTACTTTTACTGGAAGATGATGAAAGATCTCAGCTGAAAAAAAATTTAAATAAAACACTTCTTCCTTGACTGGGAATTGATTATATGAGGGGGCCTCAAAAAGTCTGGGAAAGCGTTTCTGAAACTGTTCTGAAGCCTCCTGATAGTTCAGCTCCGAGGTGCCGGGGAAGGCGAAAAGACTTGGCATTGCTAAGCTGCATTCTCCTGAGAGTCCCCGGGTGGCGCAAACAGCATGCTCAGCTGTTAACCCAAAGGTCGGGGGTCAAGTCCACACAGCTCCTTTGGGAAAGGCCTGGAGAGCTCCTTCTGACAGGTCAGCCACGGCGAACCTTGTCGAGCACAGCTGCACTCTTCACATTCGAGGGGTGACGCCCCTCGGATTATGATCCTCATTGTAGAAGTAAGAAACCGGGGACCAGGGAGGTCCGGGAACCTGCTCTGCCCCACCCCTCTGCACGTTGATGGAGCTACCCGGTCGGCATCCGTACTTAGTGATCTCAAGTGGCCTCAATTCAACTAAGAGCTCTGGAACCTGGAGAAAAAGCATGTTGATCCAAGCTATAAAAGGAATGACCATTGTGAGTTTAAGGATTACAAGAGAGGTGGTTCACGTTAAGCCTTGTTGTGCCTGCCACACAGCAAAAACAACACAAATAACTAGCTGCTGCTTCTGTTACTGGGTTTCACTAGTACGACTTTTAAGAATGGTACAGCCCAGAGTTAGGAAGAGCTACATCTCAGAAATAGTGCCCTGAACGTTCCAGTTAACTTAACAGTTCCTTGGGTAACAAACTAAACCTTCCAACTGTTCCCAGAGAAGCGTTTATGCTATGGGCTGCGTTGGGGGATTTGGGTTCCTCCCCCGCCCTCATGGTCATGCATGACTTTGGATGCTGGGGGAGAACTGTGAAGGAAAGGGCCACAGGGTAAGGCATTGCAGCTGTAGATTGTGGGTTGCCAGCATGAGAAACAGAGAGAGAACCCAAGAAGTAAAGTGACAGAAAGACACATCACTTCCTTTGCTGTTTTACCTAAGGCCTTGAGGGAGTTAAGCACTGGGAATGTTTGCCCCAATACCCTTGTCTTTGTCTCAGGGAGCAGGAGGGAAGAAAGTCCATTGCACCAGCAAGAATGGCATGTGCTCTGTTACCCACTGGCCCTTGGGTCAGACCCATTTCTTCATGTCAACCCGGCACAGTGGGAGCTTTTTAAAACAACAGTTTCTTCCTCCTGCAGATGGTATTGATCCACTGAGGAAAGTAACAAACAAAACAGGAGTGTTACTTCTGTGAGTGGTTACAAGGATGAAATAACTTATTTGGGGACTCAGAGGACTTACTTCCTTTGTGACTCCTATCACCTGCCGAACACCCCCAAGGTGTGCTACGCAAAGCTCTGTGAAATCTGCTGACAAGGCCATTCGGCCATGACGCCAGTGAGTGGCATCACAGGGAGGAAGCTGTCCATTAGCTAAGTGCCAAGTCCCAGATCTGTGTGACGGACATGAACATGGCATGGGGGGCTAGGAGCTTTTATCCCGGAGAGATCTATGTAAAGGAAAGAAAATTGGCCCACCGTCTTACCCTCAACATTCGTCCTTTTTTCTTTTCACATGCCCTTCTGGTTCAGGATGAACTGTGCTATCTAAACAGGTTGCAAATTATGTATACAAAATTAATTATAATTTCTGCACTTTTCCTTGTCACACAAATTATAACAGAAAAAGCAAGGTGACTCGATTTACGTCGTTTAGATCCTAATTGTAATCCTTCTGTGGCTACTGTACTACAGAATCCAATAGATCTTTATGTGAGCCTAGAAAGCATTGCAAGATCCAAAAGTGCTTTCTGAATCATCGTCTAGATCAGCGGTTCTCAACCTGGGTGTCGAGACCCCTTTGGGAGTCGAAAGACCCTTTCAGAGGGGTCGCCCAGTTCATAACAGTAGCACAAGTACAGTTATGAAGTAGCAACGAAAATAATGTTATGGTTGGGGGTCACCACCACATGAGGAACTGTATTAAAGGGTCGCGGCATTGGAAGGTTGAGAACCACTGGTCTAGATGGTTTCTCTTCTCTTCAGTTTTGCAATCTCCGAAAATGAAAGAAGTCTTACTTGCGTCACGTAAATCCCTTCCGACTCTAGGATTTCTCATTTAGGACTATTTGAACATTAGTCATTTGCATGGGCTGGTTCAGTGGGTAAGTGTTGGGCTGCAAATCCAAAGGTGGGCGGTTCAAACCCACCAGCCACTGCGGGAGAAAGAAGTGACAGACTGCTTACATGTACAGAACACAGCCTGGGAAACCCTATGGGGCAATGCGACTGTCTCGGAGTTGGAATTGACTTGCCGGCACACAACTACTTAGGGTCTATAATAAAAATGTCACTAAGGGGTGGGGGGGAAATGAGCAAACGATATTGAGGGCTAAAATAGAGGGCAAATGTTTTGAGATTGATGAGGGTAACAGGTGTACATAGGTGTTTGACTAAATGGATGGATGTATGGACTGTGATAAGAAATGTACGAGCCCTCAATAAAATTTTTTTTTTTAAATGTCACTAAGTACGGGAAAGTAAAACTTACTGCTCAACGGTGCTGAGGAAACATCTCCAGGGAAGTGCCATCAACCACACGGAGGTCACAATTACATATTTAAGAAACATTAACCTCATGATGAGTGTTTTTTGGTGAACTAACTATACTAATGAGGTAATCACAACCATTCAACTTAAATATTCTACCCTGTGTTTCACATGCAAGGTTGGCTTACATTATTAAGCCATTTTAGGAAATTGCCAACAATACAAGTTGCTTTAAAAAGCAAACAAACAAAAAACCCAGCGTAATTCGCATGATCTCTTAAAGTTTCCAGAGATTTTTATTTTGAGTTAAGGACAAAACATGTCACAATTTGAAAAAAAGCTTCTGTCTAAAAAAACCTACCTGTTTTCACTTAACCAGGTTGCTCTTAAACTTGGCGTGACTGCTCGAGACGTAAAGAATGTCATCATCTGGGGGAACCACTCCTCGACTCAGTATCCAGATGTCACCCATGCCAAGGTGAAGTTACAGGGAAAGGAAGTTGGTGTTTATGAAGCTCTGAAAAATGACAGCTGGCTCAAGGGAGACTTTGTCTCGGTAAGAAGACAAGTTGGGCCGCCATAACAACACAACATACAGACCTCTCTAGAGATGACCCTCCATCCCTCACCCCACTGACTTGCGAGGCCCCTTCAGGAGGGCAGGCCCAGAGGTTGCTCTGAGGGCTGCGAGGTTTCTCTTTGGGGTTGTAGTGAGCCAGCAGTGGTCCAATCTGACTGACCCACCTCATCTGTTGTGGGCAAATCCCTAAGGAGTGTCAAAGTGGAACAGAGAGCATGGGCCCTCGCCCTTGATGATCTTTCTACAGAGATGCATTTCTTGTGTGAAGGGTGGTAGGCTTCTGGTGTGGGGGTGAGTCGTTTTCTCTGGCCAGTGTAATGGGAAGAGGCTAGTGTGGTTGACCTGGGTCATTGCATCATTTTGGAGGGGGTACATTACTCTATGGTCATAGCCTTAACCCCCATCCCCAAATCAGCTTGGAATGAAAAATTCTGTCATGATCAAGTGATGCTCTGGCTCTGTCTACCCCACCCCAGACCGTGCAGCAGCGTGGCGCCGCTGTCATCAAGGCTCGGAAGCTGTCCAGTGCAATGTCAGCTGCGAAAGCCATTGGCGACCACATCAGGGACATCTGGTTTGGAACCCCAGAGGTGAGCACTCGGTGATTGGCAGAGGCTCCTCTCAGGCAGGCTGGCTATTCTCAAATTCTAACTCAGCTGCCTACGGCCCAAGAACCGTGGGAAAGTTGCTAACCCTTCTGATCTGTTTCCTCATCTATTCCATGACCTTAACTACAGAGCATTGTGAGCTTCATTGTTAGCCCAATGCCTGGCACATGATCGGGGTGACTTTCTTGTTCCTAAAAACCTATGTTGGGCCATAACTTCTTACAAATAAAGCGAGGGTTGTATTTTTCCTGCTTCACACGTGGATTGAAGGTGCAATGGGGTAATAGCCGTGAAAGTTCTCCTGTCCCTGGTGATGTTTCCTTACACCCTTACAAAGGGGTGCACACACGAAAGTATCACCAGGTTTAAGTTTGTTAGTTCTGGAGTCATTTGGCCTTGTAAGCAAGTCATGATTCACTAGGAGAATGTTGACCGACTACTGTGATTTTCAGGGCGAGTTTGTGTCCATGGGAATCATCTCTGATGGAAACTCCTATGGTGTCCCTGACGATCTGCTCTACTCATTCCCTGTCGTCATCAAGGTAAGGAGGGGGCTCTGGCCTTTTTCTCCCTTTTAGAAAAGTGGTTACATATTTTTCTTAAGGAAGCTGGTGTATCTTAGTCTAGAAGGTGGTTCCTTGGCTAAATTAGGTATGTGCTTGAGCTTCAAATGTAGGTACGTGCTTGAGCTTCAAATGTATGTGGAAGACAGGATTCTCAGCTTTGCAGTTAGGTGGCGTGCAATGACCGGTGACTAAAATGCTGAAATTAACCTGGAAAGCAAGCTTCACCTCTTCCCAGTAAGGCTCCAAACCAAACCGAAGGCATTGCCATCTAGTCCATGCCGACACATAGCGACCCTACAGGGCAGGGTACAACTGCCCCTGTGAGTCTCCGAGACTAACTCCCTGTGGGCGTAGAAAGTCCTGTTGCCCCGTGGCCCCCACTGCCCCCCACAGTGTGTTGTTATGCCTCTAAAATCAGGTGCTTTTAGTACTTTTACTTCTGAATGAAGTTGTGGATTTAAGTATTGTCTCTGTTTATTATACCTGTGCAATAGTGTTTTTTTGCTCACCAATTAAAACCTTAATGGCTTTTCCTAGATTCAGTGTCCTTTACATTCAAGCATTGAGCTTTTTCACTTATCCATTAAGTTAATTAAGGTCTGGATTTGAATTCTGCTTCTTCAGATAAACCTCTAGATTTTACTACCATTTAAGTTGCACCCTACTGGGCAATCACCTCTGGTTTAATTGTAAATCTCTGTATTTGCATTTATTTTTTTAAACAGAATAAGACCTGGAAGATTGTTGAGGGTCTCCCTATCAATGATTTCTCACGTGAGAAGATGGATCTTACTGCAAAGGAACTGACAGAAGAAAAAGAAAGTGCTTTTGAATTTCTTGCCACTGCCTGACTAGACAATCATCATCATGTTACTAAATGCCCCAGAGCTGAGGAATCTAAATGTCGTCTTTGACTCTAGTACCAAATAATAATAAAGCTATACTTAAATTACTTGTTGGGAGAAAAAAAAAGTCACATTTTAGGGATCACGTGCTTCTTGGTACAGATTTGTGATAGTTTATCATCATGGTATCAGTGTTGCATTCTAAATAAAAATATATATTCAAATGAAAATGACTCTGACTACCTATTATTTCTACTATTTTCCCATTAGAACACAAAATAGCACACATCCAAACTTAACTAAGGAGTTGGTTTGGTTTGGTTTTTTAAAAATAAGTGTCCAGGGAAAGGCAACGGTGAAAACTGTTAGAAGTTAAAGCCTGGATCTCTATTTTTAAATAGAACTGTAAAATCTACCTGGGGATAATGAATCTATTTCATTCAACATATTTTTAAGCAATCTACACTGTGCAGTTAAACACATGTTCTCTAGATCTGAAAGGTTAGTTCATGCTTTGTAAGTAATTTAAATACTGGTTATTAAGTAGGTTATTGTTCTATGCCATCGAGTCTGTTCCCACTATAGCGGCCCTGTGTACAACAACGAACAGGGCCTGGGCATCCTCACAGTGGGTCCTGTGCTTGAGCCTATCTTCGCAGTCACTGTCAATTTAACTCCTTGAGGGCCTCCACCCACCCCTGCCCCTGTAGGTTAACAAACATGTCCTTTAGGAACTGGTCTCTCCTGACAGCACATGAATGGAAGATCAAGTCTCACCACTCTCACCTTTCAGGAGCAGTCTGGCCACACTTCTAAGACAGTTTTGCCCTTTTAACAGTCCAAGGGTGCTGCCAATGTTACTCTCCAGAGTTTAATTCAAATTCTTCGGTCTTTATTCAGTGTCCAACTCTCACATGCATATGAGGCAATTGAAAACAACCATGGCTTGGGTCAGGCGGATCTTAAAGTAGGACGGAATAGGTTGCAGATAAGAGCAAGTGTGAGGATGACACTGGGCCAGGCAGTGTCTTGTTATGTTGTGCATAGGGCCACTGATTCGGAACCAGCTTGACAGCACTAAACAACATAATGCTTGTTAAGTTTCATGCCTTCAGATGAAATGATAATCATTTTTCATGAAAGATGAAAAGATAATAGGCTTCCCCTGAGGTGAACTTCTATGACAGATAAGACCATTTACATTTAATCAGCCAATGCCGCAGAAATGTATGCTAGTGCTAACAGTGTTCGTAATGTGAGCTTCTTAGAAATGGCCATTGGTGAGAGCAGGGTGGCATCTTTCTTTGCATCATGGTCTGCACATAACAAAACCCCAAACCACTAACATCGGGTTGATTCTGACTCGTGACCCTATAGGACAGTAGAGCTGCCTCGGGGTTTCTGAGGCTACAATCTGGAAGCAGTTTTCACATCTGTCTCCCAAAGAGCAGCTGTTGGGGTTGAGCCCCATACCTTTCACTTGGTTAAGCACTGAACCACTGTGCTACCAGGAGTCCTGCACAAAATTTTTAGAACCCACCAAACCCATTGCCCTCAGGTCCAATTCTGACTGAGTCCCTGTAGAACAGTAAAACCACCTCATGAGATTTCTAAGGCTGTGAATCTATGGAGACAGGCTTACATCTTTCTCCTGTGAAGCAGCTGTTGGGTTAGCAGCTTAGGGCTTAGTACCTGTTACTGCCAGCGCTCCTTTGAGTTTAGGGTACTGTATAGTGTAGAACCGCCCCTGTGGGTTTCCAAAGCTGTCAGTCTTTAGAAACAAAAACACATTTCAAATAGAATTGATAAAGAATAGTGTTTCTAAAGAAAAGTTGCCAATATTGCATTCTTATCCATTCCAAATACTTCTATACCAGGACTAAAACAAAGGTTGATTACAACTTAGCAAGTCTATTTTGGGTTTCTGAGGCTTTAAAGGTACAGATAGCCCCTTCTTTATCCCACAGGGCAACTGGTGGGTTTGAACCACTGACCTTGCAGTTAGCATTACAGCTCGTACCCAACTAGAACTAGCCAAATACTTGAAACTGGAACTGTGCAAAGTACATTTCTCTCCTTTTTAAATCATTTTATTGAGGCTCATACATCTTATCACAATCCATACAGCCATCCATTGTGTCAAGCACATTTGTACATATGTTGCCATCATCATTCTCAAAACATTTGCTTTCTACTCGAGCCCTTGGTATCAGCTCATTTCTCTTTTACCAGCTGTTTTTTGTTAGCAGTCTACACATACTGGCCGTCTTAAGGGCAACTGTCCTCCATCCAGAGCAAAGAAGTACGGAGAAAATCAGAGGTGCACTGAACTGGCTCATGGACCATATGAACAGTCCCCACAACCCTGAGCCCAGAAGAACTGTGTGGTGTCTGCAAAGGATCACCGTAGAAGTTTCTGGATAGAATGGGAGAAAATGTGGAAGAAAACCCAAAATCATTTTAAAAATAGGCCAGACAGATTGGTGGAACCCCTAAGACTCTAGCCCTTCATCGCCCTTCTGGGCTGGAAATGAATACACCCTCAAGGTTCCATTTTCAGTCAAGCAAGAGGTTTATATGGAAGAACAAAAACACGGGAAAAGAACTGTGTTAGGGTTCTCTAGAGAAACAAAACCAGAACGGTAATAATTTAATATATATTAATACAGATAGATATATAACCTAAGAAATAAACAGTTATTTAAATTATAAAGCAGTACAAATGGCTCAGTGCAACTCACTCCCATGAGACAGTTGTGAGACACTGGCAGTCCTTCAAGTCTTGAGGGCTACCGGGTAGTCCTCTGTAGAGCAATTCAGGCTATCCGGGCACAGGCAGCAAACAGCAAGGCAGGTCACCAACAGTCAGACAGATGACAGGGTCCAACAGTCCCCAGCTCAAGAGATGTAAATTCTAATGGTGCGGCGAAGCAGGTCTTGAAGGAACCTCAAATTAAAGTGACACAGTCCTCGGGTTAGGTGTCCCACAGGTAGTGTAGCTTGCAAATTGAGGCAAAAAACAAGCATGGCAGCCGCACACTGGTCTGATGATCAAAGAGCAAGAGACAAGAAAGGGGAGTCTCACTGAGCCATTTATCTCTCCGCCTTTCAATTAATCCCACAGGTTGGCAAAATAAACTAACTACCTCAAGTACACACACTCAACTGTTTGAGATCAGAAGAGCAGCATTTAACTGAGGACCAAGTTCAAAAGGAGGAGGAATGGAAAAACAGGAAACAATTCGGAAATGGGATAAGTGAGGATCGCAATCAAAGGCACGAAAACAAAATGTGGATAAATTGTTGAATGAAAGCTGATTGACTCTCTAAACCTTAACTCACAATAAAAAAAAACAGTCAATAAAGGGTGTTAGAGACTAGAAGTCTAGAGGGGGAAGGACGTTTTGAAAGCAAGCTCCTCCTGGTTGGTAGTGTCTTGCATTACCTTCATTACCTTCTCTTCACTTTGTGTAGGCGACTAGTGAAGAACACAAATGATTCATGCATTTGAAGCTAATTGGAAGCATGAAAATAGAGTAAGTTCATGTAGAATTAAACAAAAGTCTGTATGAGTTATAAGGACGTACAACTAGAAGATGATATCAATAAAATTAAATGAATGTCTATTCATACCTTTGTGTAAATTAGCCTGTTGTATGATTTTCTTAAGTAAACACACTCAACTCCTGATGACATAGTAGTTATTTATGCATTGGGCTGCAAACCACAAGGTCAGTTTGAAACCACCAGCCTCTCCGAGGGAGAAAGCTAAGGCTTTCGACTCCTGTAACCACAGGGGCGGGCAGCTCTACCCTGCCCTACAGGGTCACTATGAGTCAGAATTGACTGGACAGCAGTGAGTGTGTTTTGGAATTCCTTAAAATTGGAGATCACAGATACATGAAAGATTGAAATGGTAGTGCTAGGAACACGGAGCATGGAGCCTGAAACAATTTGCGCCATCCAGAGTGAGTTGTTTAAGGATGAAAATTTTACCTCTATTTAGGCCAATCATGGGCTTGGGAATGAGATGATCTCAAATGTAGATCCTGGTTCTAACTCTTCTTTCAGTTGTTCTTCAATAACTTTTCTAAGCTTTGATTCCTAAATCTACCAAGTGGACAAAATAATCATATCCCAAGACTTTTGTGAAGATAAATATAAAACACATAGTAAGGCATCAATTTTCTATTGAATTTCTTTTAAAAAAACAACTCCTGAGCATCACCTCAAAAACTGTTGTGATCATGCATCCATCAAGTGACACTTCCCAAGCCCACCTTTGCTTGTCATTTCCTCCCCTTACATACCCTCCACTCTAGACATGGTAAACAACCGGAACAGGTAAGGTTCACGTAAATGTTTCCCTGTCCTTTGCTCCTATATGTTTTTCTGCTTGGAATTCACTTTTCTGTGTCTCTAGCTATCCTTACGCATGTGTTTATCAAGGGAAAAAAATCCCAAGGAGTTGTTGATCTGCTCTTTTAGGACTAGTTCTGCAGAAGAAGGTGAGGATCAGAAGATGCTGATGCTAATAATTTATTAAGTCAATGTTCCCGAGAGAAATTGCCAAGAGGAAAGACCAGAGGCAAAGAAGAGGAACAAGGAAGCGTGCATTCTGCCAGAATCCTTTGCCATGGTCAAGCCTGAGAGTTCCTCACTGAAGCAAGGGACAGATGGGTGCCTGTGATTTTTGGAATCACCTGGGGATTTGGTGAAAATACAGATCCCTGGGCACCATTAGCAACTTAACATATCAGAATCTCTAGCGGGAGGAGCCTAGTAATGTACATTTTCACAGATACCCAGATTATAATGATCAGCCAAGTTTGGGAACCAAGGGGTTAGAGGGTGGATGTATAAGTGGTTGAGGGCCATATCGGACCTCCTCTGGTTAAACAAGGGAAAAGGAGAAGACAACACCACACCAGCCCAAGGGCACTTGCCATAAGGCAGAGGTCAGACATGCCTCCAACCTTCAACTGCCTTTCCCCTATGCTAGCACCAACCAATCCTCCCATAATAGCCTACTTCTCTGCTGGATTGAACAATCCATTGCAATGGCCACATAGACCTCACAGACAATACTCACAATTATGGGAGTTTATTAGGGACGCTAACAGATTAAATGTGTTAAGGATACAGTTCTCCGCCCCTCCCTCCCCCACAAGGCGTCTTCTCAGTCATACTGGCAGGCATGTCTCTCTCTGGGCGTTGATAAGTCGTTGGC